GTTTTTACTCCGTCAGGCGTTTCGAAACATACTCATTAGACGCAGCTTTTCACACTGCATCGAACGAGTATATTTCGAGACGTCTGAGGTAGTAAAAACAACGAAAAAAGCTACTTTTATTGAAAAATTGAGCGTGTTTCTTCAATTTGAAAAAAAAAGAGTTTTTAAATGTTTTTGAGGTTTCCCGAGTAGTGTTTTGAACTTTTTATCTCAAAAAGATGCCTCAAAAAATTTTTAACATGCACAGTTTTGTAGAGCTCAACGAGGTCTATCAAACCATGTAAAAATATTCAAGAAAAAAATTGACTTCATTTTTGAATCAGTGGCACCTTGATTATCCACCCCAAAAAAATATAAAATTTCTCAAAAACTTCTTAAGTTTGACATTAGAAAGTTTTTACAAGCCTCACTATTTTGTATCAATAAACCCCATTTTTGACGAGCTTTCATTTGATTTAAAATTCATTATGTCTTCTATTTGAAATTATAGCGTTACCCCCCTGGAATAATATTTTTTCCAACCGTGTATATTCATGACAGTCACTTGTTATTCGACATAAATCTGTAAAATATAGAGTAATTTAGAATACAATAAGCAACTTGTCTGAAAAAGTTTCACGTCTGCTTCCATCGAAATGTCACATCGATTCAGTTCCTGTTGCCTATGAAGAATCTGGTTCGAAAAGTGAACTGCATGAAATACATTCAATCGATTGTTAAAATTAAGAAAGTTTCATGAATCTAATCTTCCTCAGATAAAGAAAAATACCTTTTTCTATTTCAATTTTTCATTATTTAATATATTGTATTAAAAAAAAAATATATACTACAAGATGCAACGTATTAAGTGATGAAAAAATAAAATGGACAAAGGTACTATTTTTGTTCGAGGGAGAATAAAGGTAGTTCTCTCTATATACGATCACAAAACGTATATGAATAGTGGTTCGTTACAATATATTAACTACTTGCTTATTGTATTTCTGAAGGATTAAGAAAAAAAGCGTCAAAGAATGTGTTTTAACATATATAGAATAAAATAATCTTCCTGTGACTAGCAACAGCAACAACATCGTATGTTACATTTCAATCTCGCAGGGATTCGACTAATAACTTTTTCATAGAAAAATTACGTAGAGCCTACATATTAAATACTTTACAAGCAACTAACTTTATGTTTACCAAGGTATAGAGAGAAAAAAAAACTTTTTCTCTGTATTTTTTTTGATGGACAAAATGAAAGAGAGGAGCCTATAATTAGATTCTATCGATCACACGTTAATAGCTTTCTCTCTCGTCACAGGTATAGGAGAAAAAAACAACCTGTTTTTTTCTGTATGTTCTGTTTGTATATTTTTTCATAGACAGATTAAAAGAGAGGAACCTATAGATTCTATCGATCACAGGTAAATAACTTTCATTCTCCCGAAGTATCGCGACAAATTTTTCTTCTCTATATGTCTGCCTGTATTTTTTCATAGACAAAATTAAAAAGCGTATTCTATACATTAAATTTTTCACAGGTAACTAGCTTTATTTTTCTCAAGGTATTGAATAGAGATTGCATTTTATCTTCATTTTACTTTGAAAAAGTAAAGTAAAATAAAGTAATATATTATGATTAAGTTTATAATTCATTTATTAATCCATTATCATCCATTGATAATGTTGCAATATATTTAAGTTTATTCAAAATCAATTTCTTTAATGATTAGTGGAAAATGAAACGAAATAAACGTGAAAAGTCAATATTTTTATGAGCTAATATTTTGAAACCTAGCTACTTTTCATGTACTAGAGATAATATTTTATATCAATATTACCTGAATAAATTTGAGCTGCATTTATAGAAAACAAATAACTAATAAAGTTAACTTCTGCTCTTTTTACTTATTTCAGAGTTCTTTATTATAAGGTAACATACTATCATTGCAAGCTATGAGATTTCGAATTAGTTTTTTTTATTAATTACATCAACAAAAACTGATCATTATACTAACTAATCATATAGAGGAGAGGAAAGTTCTCGTTACCTGAGAGTTACGTTGTTACGTAACGGAGTTTAGTGGAAAAATCAAATCCTCGAATTTTTGTGACTTCACTCTTCATTATCTAAAAACACAACTGTCTAGTAATTGAAATTTCTCGTCTCTATACGTATATGGTTAATTAGTGTAGTAATTGGCTTTTGTAGATGTAATTCATAAAAAAAAAACTAGTAGGAAATCTTATGACTTGCGATGATAGTATGCTACTTTATGAAAAGGAATTTCGACATAAATAAAAACATCACAAGTTAACTTTATTATTTTTTCTTAGAAATGTAGCTCAACTTTATAGAGATAAAATTAATGTAAAATTTTATCCATAGCACGTGAAAAGTAGCCCAAGTCTGAGAGTGTGGGTGTGTATTAGTCTTATAGACTCCTTAATCATCAGTAAAACTATGAGTGTACAATAACATACTATGCAAAAGTAATTGCTGAAATCTTCAGTCATTGTTCTTCTCTCAGAAACATCTTGAAAAGTAAAAGTTGTTTTCTTTTTATCAGAACGAGCAATATTTGAACTTCAAATTTCGGTATTAGGTATATTTTTTTCGGAACAAATCTGATAAAGAAAAAAAGTCAAAAACCAAACACCTTCAAAAAAAATCCTTGCGAGTTGGTCATCGAAAATTATCCGTTTTTTATTTTTATTAATTGTTTTTTGGTGTCAGGAGTTGAAATGAAAAGACACTATCAATGATAATTTTGTGTAGCCTAAAGGGCACTCTTTTTAATTATGTATTAGAAGCTAAATTTGCTTCTAGTTTAAATATGAACACATTGTTTTGTCTAGAAGAGACTGAATAATTTGGTTGCTCCCACTACCTAGTCATTTTATAGCGGTAAAAGAAAAAGACTCATTGAGCTAATTTTTTTTTTGTTAAATTTCTATAATCTCACATATTTCGAACGAATAGTGTGAAATAAATAAACGTCTTTTGTTACAAAAATTCCATTTGTCATTTTTTTTTCGATTAAAGAGTAAAGAATGGATCTAAAATTTTTTAACGACATTGATATTGATACAGTTTTTCATGCGTTATATTTTGGTGTATTTTTTTGTGAGAGCTTAGCCCATATAGTCTAAGATAATCGAGAAACATACATTTTTCAAGCTGCAGGAAAGTTACAGAATAGTTTTTTAGAGATGTTTAGTTTTTGGCTTTCCCTTCTTGTCAGATTCGTTCTCCTAAGCGGAGAACTATGACTGGAGATTTCAGCAATTACTTTTGCACAGTAGGCTATTCTAACTAAGCGAGGGAGTCTCGTTAAATGTTATCAGAAAACAAGCTGAGTTTCCAACACATTATAGATATCAAAAAGGAGGTTTTGGACCAAAGCTTTTTTCTGTTCATTAGTCACGCACATCGTCTGAAAAAAAAATCAAAAAATTTTAAGTGTTACGCATCCTTAGCATTGACTGAAGGCAATATTTGCATGAAATAGATATTCCGAAAATGGCCAATTCAACTTTTTCTCTATAATTATTATTTCAAGTAAGTGTCACATGTTTTTTAGGGAACTATGTCGAAAAAATATTACCATGGTGATCCTCATCGTAACAATCATTTTTGGGTTTATCCAAAAGATAAAAAATTAATAACTCCCCGTTGGGACACTTACAAAGCATCGGATATGTGCGATAATTGTACGCATATTGATACTGATTCAGAATCTGAAATAGAGACATATCAATGCAATGGTCATGATACGTAAGTAATAAGCACAGTCAAAACACAACTTTCTTTTGAATTCAATCTGAACTAATCTTATGATTTTATAGTGCGGTAGATAGTCGTGTTACTCAAGGACAAATCCGTAATAGAAGAAGAGGATGATGTTAAGGAACAGGCGTAAGGCCTCGTTACATCTTCGAAAAAAATTCAAAATGCTTTATTTTTCTTTTCTTTTTTTCTCTTATATGTTACACTGCTGTTTTGTATGCATGTTTTTTTTGACTACAACAACTATTTGTGCCTTTCAATGTTAATTCTTGTGTAGATAGCAAAACAAAACGATGATAGTTAAAATCGAAAGTTGTTTTCTCAATGGATTTTACCTTGAAAAAAATTTTGTTGTTTTGCTTCTTCACAAATATTTCATTCGGCTAAAATCTATGTTTGCTAGTATAATGTATGAAGCTGACTAACATTTGATTCAATTCTAAAACATTGATGTATAAGACCAGGACAGAGAAAAAATTATCATTAACTGCATTTTCTCTGATTGAATGGCATGGGAGGGTGTGGGTGTCTGTAGGTGTTGGTGTGACTTTTGTTCTTTCCGTCTTGCAAGTCGCACACCCACTGCTACAGCCACACTCGACATTCTATAATGCATGAAATAGGTTGCATTATCACGTAGATGCATCTATTGCATTTCTATGAAAAGATAGTGCATTGCAATGTCCATTATTTCGAACAATCGGCTACATGGATCTCAACATCGAAACTTATTTTAAAATATTGATGCAACAAAATTTGCATTTTGAGATATGAGTAATGCCTTCAAAATAATCATATTATATATTTTAATAAGATATAGAACATCCGATATAAACATTATTATGATTATTAGTTGCACTCATATTAACCACTCTCATATAAACATCAGTAGTAGTAGAAAATCATTGAAACACTGTATGTCACACTCTAGTGTGTAGAAATAGTCTATAAACACATATGCGTGAGCCACCAAATAAATGACAATCTAGAAACAGACTACTGGAGATGTGGGGGAGAATGGACAGAAGACTAAAACTCATGTTCAAACTCGCTGAAAAATATCACCCTTATCAATAGTAATTGTTAACAATATAAAAGTAGTGTATATATTTTTATTGTTTTATTTAACTTAATGATTATTTTTGTTTCAATCAACAAAAGTTTGTTTTAAGTTTTGATTCATTTACCAATTAAATATATGAGAACAAATCTTTGTATATTCCATTCATTAAACTAATATTTGCTGTGATTGTAATCCAATTACAAGACCAGTTTTGTTTTTACGCACCAATGTTTCTTCAGTAATTTCAATGAATCCTGCATTGTTTTGTTTCATGTTAAGTCTTTGTAAATCTTTAATTACTCTTTGTCTACCGTAGTAAGAATGACGAACAACATCTTCTTGAAATCCATGGCCTAAAGTTACACATTCGATATCATTGACGAAAACTGTATGACCTTGATTCAGTACAAAATTATATACAGCTTCACAGGAAATCTCATTCGTTGACGAAACAAGGGAACAAGGCATAATCAATTGTGTAGCAAGTCGAATAGGATGCCAAGCAGTAATGATTAAATTATTTTCAAGCTATAAGACAAAAAAAAACGTTTAAAAAATAGATACTTCAACAAAAAAAAACTCTACAATCACAAATAAACGAATTATTTGAAAATAAACCTCGAATAATTCTAATTTATTCCATTGAATCTATCTGATAGACAAAGAATAAGAATTTAATACTTACTATCACCATTTTTGCTTTTTGATTTTGACATTTCGTTTTCACAACAAATATAACCATTCCACCATGTAGTGCCATTCGATCACCTAGTTTAACGTTTTTTACCAATTTGGTGGTACCATCCATTAGCCGTACTGTACATTCTCCATAAAAGCATTCACCAGTAGCATTGTGAAACACTGTCATATCGATCTGAGCACCAGTTTGTGAACGTTTAGGAGCAGGTAAACTGCAAAATATTTCATCCATTTCATCACGTACTTGTGTGAAAAATGTACCCTTTCCGTAATGTTGAACACCTGGATCTTTAAAATGATTACAAAATTGAAGAAGATGAGCACCTGAAAAAGAAAATGAATCAGAAATGAACTAATTCGTTTGTTCTTTCTCAAATATCTCATGAACTTAATCTTCTAAATCTACACTACATAAAAGAAAAATAATCTATTTTGTTTTTCACTTATTTTTTTCATCAAAAATTATTTTGTTAGTTATCTTATATTTATCTAGGAATTAAACTTACGCGTTAAATTAGGTAAAAAGTGTACACCCCATTTATTGAACCAATCTTCTTTTTCGATAGCTTGTTGTACTTGTCCTGTTAAATCTGCAAATAAATCTTTGAGAAACTCATCCTTGCCATCTGCATATTTTCTCATATTCGTTTGTAATGTTTGGATTAGATTCATTGCTGATTTATGTTGTTCTTTTGTAGTTGTTGGCTTAGTTTTCATTGAATACATTTGTTCTAATGCTGTTCGTACAAAATTAACAAATTCCAGTCGAAATTTATGCCGATTTATGAGATCAAAATCAGCCTGTGATAGATCATTTGTCAAATTGAAGCTGACTGATCTTCTCACGTTTTGTACGGTACGATAAGTCAGCGTGAATTTACATCTACTGATCGATTCAGAAGAAAATGGAATTAGTACATCTTTGCTTTGACCATATGTAATCGAGCCCAAATAAAAAAAAAGTGCCTTCTTCAGTGCTATTCGTCGAATACCAACGAGTGTAATCAGTATTTTGAAGACTTGGATCATGAAGCAATAACTGTAATGGAAGAGCAATAATAATCATATGTCAAGTTCTTGTCATTTTACAAATTTATCTACAGTTTTAAAATCAATATTAATATAAAGTTTCCAAAAATCAGTTTACTGATTTCATACGATCATCTATTCTAAAAAGACTTTTATTGCACTCTTATTTATTGTCTATGGACAAATTTTGTATGATTCTCTCTCTCCTGACTTTAGTTCAAGTTCACGTTGAATATGGCATAAGAGTACTTGTTTTTATAAGATAACTAAAGTTAGTTTTGAGCATGATTATTACCTGCACGTTGGTTGCTGCTGTAGTTAACAATGTTGACATAGCATTAACAAAGATTGTTCCTACAAATGATCCATCAGGAATAAATGCATATGAACCAGAATTTCCCAATATAGAAATATCCTCAAGAAGTTTGCTGTCCAATTGGTATCCAAAATCAAAAGTATTAATAGCACATGTAAAATTAATGTCTTTCTTAAGTTTTTCTAGTGATTTCAAGTGGCCATCTGGTGGTATATCGGTAGGGCAACCATCAGTCAGAAGAAACAAAGTTGAAATACTTCTAATAGAACCTTGATTTTTCGATAGAAGTTCAAGACCAGTTCGAAGACCATCCCATAAATTTGTGGAACCATTACTCCAGATGAAATTTTAGATCGATTAAAATTTATTTAATCATAAAAATTTTTTCAATATACAAATTCACAGAATCACACGTTTATTGTGCAAATATTAACTGAAAGGAAATTAGATATGAAACAAAGTTGATAGATCTCAAGGAATTTTATGAACTTTTGATCTGTTTTAGATTCTCCTATGAAGAATATGAGATAGTTCCAACTACATTTTATCTAACATTTGCTGAAAACTATCAATATTTCAAACCTACATTGGTATTTTCTGATCAGTTTAATCTTATCTGAACTATTCACTTGAGATATTATACTTATAACTGTCGTACATATATAATAAAGTAATTTCTATATATTCTTAAATGAACTACTAACCGATAATCTTTCAATTTCAGCTAAAGCATTGATTTTTCCTTCGTCATCCATTTTTGTTAACGGAAATATGATTGTAGCTTTGCCAGAAAATGATACTGTTGATAATCGATCTTCACCTTGAAGAGAATGTATAATTGTCTTGAGAGCATGTTTAACCAAATCTAACTGTGATAAACCGTACTGCTCATTTTTATCATTTTGAATTTCAGCCCGAGTTGACATGGATCCTGAAGTATCAACTACACAGCAAATATCACATGAAGAGCGAATTTCTTCTTGTGGAGGTTGAATTGAGCTGTGAAAAAAACCATTAGCATAACTACCAGATACTGTAATATCAGACGAATGTGATTTTTTTAAAGGCGTATGTGAGTGATCATTTGGTTGAATTGATTGACGATGTTCATCAATAGCTGTTTTAAGGGCTAGATTTGGACGAAGATCATCGATAGAAAGAGGACGACGTGTTATTGGTGATGTAGTACAACAACAAATCCAATCTTCAATTGCATGTTTTTCGTAGCTATTGCCATCGGGATCAATGACTGAATTGATCATGAGTTCGCGCGTGATTGGACAGAAGAAAGATAGCGATGAATCTGCCATTGTCGAAATTGAATTTCCTTCTGACTTATTAATAGAATAGATTTCTCTTTACTGTTTCATAAAAAAATTCGCATTTTTATACTATAAAGTGTTGTAAGAAAATATGTTTATCCTATTTGTGAGTCAAACTGTAATCATAGTGCAAAGAAAGCAACGCAAGCAAACATGTGTCATATTTGTCTTTACCAAAGATGGAAGTGTCAATAAGCCAAGAGAAAAAACACACATTGTGCAATTTGAGTACGTGAAACAAGTAAGTAATTCACCAGAGTGTGGGTGTAGCTGATGGTGTGTGAGCATTCTATCCACAGTCACATACATACACTTACACCCACACCTATCCACATCCCACCCACACCCTCTAAATCATCATCAGTAACGTCTTTGGAGCTTGAAGATTCGAATTGCATTCTAACAAAATCATCATCCAAAGAATTCACATTACTCAGTGAGTTTTCACTATTTTCTGTATTGGTTTCTTCAGACGACATGTGAATCAGCTCAAAATTTCAATTGTTCTAGTACACGTGAGAGAAAAGAATCAAAGATAACGCTACGAAAAGAATGCAGAAGAAAAAAAACCGAAATTTTCATTCGTTATTTCGTTTCAACTGCGTAAGACATATACGAAAAAGAAAGTAAACGTAAATAATTACTCAATGGGATGAGAAAGAGAATCATCTATGTAGTGATACAAACAAGAAAAAGAAAAGCAAATGGCTGCACACATCAAACAGGTCAACGAGTGTACTTATCGAGGATGAATATACATAAAAATCAATAAATTAAAGCTATTTTCTAGCAAAATTGAATCGCCTTGAAAGGGTTAATATTCATCTTTTTCATGATCAAACACAAAAACTTAAATATGTATGTTCATATCATTCAAAAACTCATTTATTCTACGAGATCACTGTTTAGTAAATACAACATATTACATCAAAAAGTGCTTTTCGAAAATATTGCGTCCGATCAACGTATAAACACAAAACAGAATTCGATTTGCTAAAAAACTGAATCGAAGAGCAAAATTGTATATAAAACGTTGGATAGTATTTTGTATATCAGATATTTGACCATTCATTATTGCTATAGCATATATACGTTGAATGGCAATTGGAAACGCAAACAGAGTAAAAAGAATTATAAAGAGACGATGATGTTTTTTTTCACTTGTACATGACGAATTAAATTTATTAATACAATAGGTAAAAGAATTTATTTAATTAAGGTGAAAAAAAGCTGAATTTTTGATTGCTCAGATTGCTTCGATGATCAAATATTGCCATTCATTATCCATAAGTATTCACATTCTTTAGTATCGAGAAATCATGGATTCGAGTTCTTTTTAACCAATATAAGATTTCTGTCTTTAAACATCACAAAAATACGATGCCGTTGATTGTCTTGATTGAAATCAGCTTTTTCTCCCTTGTGTTTAGTCAAAAAGAATAGATATCAATGACAAAAGACATTTTAAGTTTTTTTTTCTAAGTAGCACCTTCATCTAAAGAAAGAAGGTTCACAAGTGTTACGCTTCGTTTCGAATTAGATATTTATCATTTTGTAGAGCTCAATGAGTACGACATCTTATATGAGAATAAGCTTTCATCATTATTCATGAATCTTTACTGTTATCACTAGATTGTTGATGCTTCTAGTAAAATAAATATTTGTCGTAGTATAACAAGAAAAGTGAAATTATCCAATATGAAATTGAATTCACTATGTGCCAAACATAACTCAAAATTTAACGCATGAAGTTGTGGTGGATAAAAAAGTGATCGACACTGGAAATCAAAAGTACAGTAATCGAAAAAATTTCCAACATAAACAGTATAACGTAATGTAATAAAGTTGGAAAAAAATTCCTTTTACTTCCGAGTTTACCGTCCTCTATCGTGTTAATATTGTCTCCATAGAACGGATTCTTCTCTTCTAGAATAAAATAAATATTGAATTCTTCGTTATAACAAGCACATAAAAGAAAAAAGTTACTATCGAGAAAAGGTGCTTTCGTTTTCTTTCTTACCCTCGAACATATTCATTTTAAATTACGCACAACGTTAGCAGGTAAAAATCAAGTCAAAAAAATGTGTCTAATAAGGAAAACAGTGGACGAATACAAGATTTTCTCACGTTATTCATTAACAAATCTTGTTGCAAAATTTCATGTTTTATGTTTCTCGAAGAATACAAACCCGTTTCACAATGGATTTTTGTGCATTTCCAGGGTTTTTTAAAGATGTGTAAATACTATTTTCTCTCTCTTTTTACGGCGAGTCACTATCAGATTGTATATTTCCAAAAATAGAATCACAAATGATTTTCTGATAAAGGAGTCCGAACCTGGTATTTCGAAAAAGTTCAATATAGTATCTACTATGAGAAAATACTAGGATGCAATGAACAAACTCAACAACTTCATGGCTTATCATCAATCATGAATTCTTGTAAGTTATTTAGAAACATGTAATGAATATTTTAAAACAGGATAAAGAAATTGCATCTGTATCGTTTGCTATCTCCCTAAATGTCTTCAGCATTCGTGACTCATGCACATATACACCTGTAGCACAGTTGGAAAATCCCAACTTGAGATGGAGGAAAGGTACACGCGTACTAATGTTTGTCAACGAATGCGACTTGCAGCAAACAGAAAAAGACTAGGAAGTCCTTCTGGAATTATCGTTCCATTCAGCCAAAGTAACCTTATAACTTTCGTATAACCAGTATCTTTCAAGATTTATCTGTTATATCTCGGTTATATAATTATCAAGAATCTATCTCATTTTTAGGTTCTATTAATTCTACCGTTACTATTCATCTGAAATAATTACTGACTCTATCAAATACAACTAATCGTGATCAAGCATTCGATATGAGTGAATATATGACTGTCCCAATACCTGGACGCAGAAACTCATCTGTGGGGAATAATAATATTAGAAGTTCGATTGATGTTGGTAAACAAGCATTGGATGGAAGTGGTAGTGTCGAGTTAGGGGTTCCAACCGAAACAGGACGACTGCGTAAGTAAAGCGAATAAACACAATATGGTTCGGAGAGAAGGTGAGAGTGAAGACTAGGGCTTGAGTCTGGAAATTTATACTGGATGGATCTGACCCGGAAAATATGTCTCATACGTATAATATGTCTTTGTATTAACTTAAATTTTTGTTCGATTTATAAAAAAAAAGACATCATATCTTTGGATTGAGTATCAGATTCGAATTAGAAGATTTTATTAAGAGTTTTAAGACCCGCGTCCGAGTCCAAAAGTTTCTGCATGCGACAGGTTGTAATCCTTACCATCAAGAAAATTCGAAGAATAAAGTCTCTTTGCAGGTGAGATTGACGAGCGGCTTCAAGCACTGGCACTTAAACATGAAATACGAGTCAGCGAACGTGATCGTCTCAAGGAACTCGATGGGTATGAGATAATCGCTCTGTGTGATGATTCAGGATCGATGCATTTCAATGTCGATGGTACTAACCGAACCCGCTGGGATGAGCTTCGCTATATAGTCAAGCTCGTTATTGAAATTGCAATGGTATTTGACAAGAACGGCGTAGATGTCTTTTTTCTCAACCGAGAAAATGCTGTTGGAATAACTGATCCACAGGACATTGATCGTTTATTTACGCCTCCTCCAAGTGGATACACGCCACTTGCACGCAAGCTGCAAGAAATCATAAATTTCGCAGAAAATCGTGTTGATAAGGAGAAAAAAGTGCTGATTTTCATTGCTACCGATGGAGCACCAACCGACGACGGTGGAAATCCCGATCTGGAAAGATTTGAGCAAATCATGAAACATGAGCGTAATGTCGAGACTACTCATGTGATGTTTCTACTTTGTACTGATGAGCCAGATGATATTGCTTATTTGACCAAATTTAAAGGAACGATGAAAAATGTTGATGTTTATGATGATTATGAAACTGAAAAGAAGAAAATCCGTCGTTTACGTGGAAATAACCATGCGTTCTCAAAAGGTGATTATATTGTTCAGGCATTGGTTGGTGCTGTTGAACATAAACGTTGATCTTCTTCACAGGTTTTACCAAATAAACCAGCAATCCTTAATGACTGACTTTTGTCATTCTTTGTTTTGTATCATCAGCTAGAACACTCTGTAATTATGTATCTGTCTCAATTTTTTATTGTTAGAAGAACATTCATTCTATCGTCTTAATATAAAAAATGATGCATCATATTGAAGATTATAATCAGAATATCAAAGGTGAAGTTGAGAATAGCTTCATCATTTTGATCAGATGCAGGATTCGATGCTGATTCAGAATATGTAACTCTTTCGTCAGACACGATCTAAAAGGAGTGTTGAAGTATTAGGGATACAGATTTGGACCCATCCCCGGCTTCCCTCACATCCAACCCCACCCACACCCACCGTCAAGCCATATCTTCTAGAGATTTTCTTCTCAAGCAGTCGAGCAACGGCACAGAAATTTCTTTGAAAAAGTATCGTCAGATTGTCATTAAATATTCTGAGCATGATAAATTATTACAAGAAGTTATGATAGTTCAACGAGTGGATTTACTCAAGGCTCAATGTTGTTCTTGATACTATGTAACAATCGAAAAAAACAGTGATTGTTCTCATGTGCATTGTAAGTACATTCAATGGTGGTAATGTTGCCACGTGCTGCCGAGCCTACAGTATGCACGGTGTAAGAGTTTGTGAACGGTTTGGACGTGGTGAAGTACAAGCATGGTGTTATAGGTACTAGCAACAAAGCTAATCGGCTAAAACTGATACTTTCATTTTTGTTTTCCATCTAAGAGTCCTCTAGTCTCTTATTCTGTGTTTTTTTTCTACTTTCTACAAGAAACTCCTCTAAATCTGTAGTTTTTATATCTTCACAATAGATATAATCGATTTTAACTATGGTTACAGTTTCGTTTTAATAACTGATCACTCATTGGAATTTGCCAAGGACGATACACGACTATCTCCTAAGCGCATATGACACATTCATTCAATAGTGTTCTACCTGTTTGATATTCTTGATCGCGCTCAGGAATTTTCCATAGTGTTTAAGGTCGTAAGAAACATTTTTCAAATACGGGGTGTGTGTAGGTATGGCTACCGAGCTGTAAAACGTGGGTGTGTGTTTGAGTTTGAGGTGTCAGTGTGGATGCGCATACTGATGTTGATCTTGTTTTACTAGTCAATCACAACTACATTCAAAAAATATCCATACCCAAACCCACAGCCATAAACACACCCACACCCTGCTCAATAAATTTCATATTCAATAACATGGGTATTGCGCAGTTTTTTTGTCACACATGAAATTAATCATTCCTCTCCATTATTCAAAACTTCCAAGTCTATTTATTTGACGAAGATGTAAAAGAAAAAACAACTTCTTTTCTCCGTTCTTATTTGTATAGCTGTAGTCAGCATATGTACATATAATGCCACCTTCTTATGATTCCAACAGAGAAGCTTAATCGATCGTAAAAGTGAAAAAAGGTAAAAATAACTGATGCATATTGGAAACAACCAGTATGAACTTTATTTTTTTTTTTTGGTTTCCTAGGATATAAATAATCAATTGAAGTTTATTATAAAGCAGATAATAGATATAATTGGGGAAATATAACATAATCATATGAGTAGTATTCACATTAAAATAGAATGATGATCCACCTGCTTATCATATAATCGTAAAATTTCCACTTGTCCCTTCGGTGACTGACTCTCTACCATCGTATCGAGCTGCAATAGTCCAGCTATCTGCCACAAATTCAACTAGTGTTAAATTGCAACAAGACCCTATTAACTATCATGAAAATTGTTATCAATGTTTTCCAAAGTTACAGAAGCAATGCGCAATTCATAAGCGTTCGATGACGGTAGTGCTCATTCTTATTCTTTCGTCATTGATTTCATTTATTGCTCTTATTGGTGGTGCTGTAAAGTATTTGGATTGTGCAAGTTCTCCTGAAGTACCTGTATGGTTAATTGTTTTTGGTGTACTAGGCATTGTTTACTGTTGGCTAACGGCCGTTCAAGTGAGGCATTCAACAGATATTATATCCTTCTTTTATCATATTTAGGATATGAGCTTTGAAAAAAAGCGAATATTTAGCATCCCAACAAATGATTCGAACTCTTTTATCTAATGACAACGAAAAGTTTCTTGGAAGGAAACATAATATTAATAGGTTAAGCAAACAAAAATTTATTTCCAATTGTTTAGTTTTACTGATTTTATCGACTAGTCTGAATCTTAAAGGGGATAATTTTTGCATGTGTTACATGTTCGTCTATGTGACTAAGGCTTGATTCGTCAAGAGAAAAAAAGCAGGAAAACTTCCAATTAACTCCGATCGAAGACACTTTCTCTTACAGACTGAGTTTTAATCTCTAAACAAAACTGATTATTTTCAGTCATTCGAATTTCTTCAGTATTTGTTTATTTTAACTATATCCCACAGGTCAGTCTGATTTCGTTCCCTTTCAGCATTGCGGGCTGATACCTTACTTGTTTTGCGAGGAAAAATCTGCTATATCTGAGGACTAGAACCTATGTTTTTTCTATGAAGCTATCATACGTCTGGGAAATGATCGAACGATTAATAGTGTATCAAAAAAAAAAGAAAAACGAAATTTATCTAATTGGTTGCTCTGGTTAAAGATCATTATCTGTTATTGTAGGTTATTTGCTATGCGAAATAGAGAAGAAACAGAAGATCATCTTTTCTCTGAGAAGCAATGCAAAAAATAGTCGAAGCTTGAAAATTCACTCCAACAAAAACTGCTAGAGTGGTTCAAATCGTTTGAGTGATTTTATTTATGTCTTTTGCCAAGTTATAAAGAAAATCAGCATAAGATGTGAGTGCATTCTGAACTACACTGTCCTATATTAGTCGATAACTAAATTAATTTCAGGTTCCGTAAACGAGAGTTCGAACTGTCGTTTAGTAAACTTGTTATTAGGTTATGCTTGAGTCTTAGTGAAAAGAAAGGTGGTGAATGAGACTAGAGCCATTTTTGTTGTGAAGATTTCAAATGCATCATTGGGAATAACTGATGGATCCACATTACTTGACATGTAATGTGTAATTCAGATCAAAGTGCCAATAATTCCACCGTTTATATAAAAGTGCGAACTAGAGGTTGCTTGAAGATTTTTATATGATTCAACAGAAACCACTACGGTCTACTAGCTGACCACAAATCGCGCTATTTCAACAAAAGATCATGAAGATATAGTTTTGGAAAGACGATTTTGTTTAAATTGTTTGAGTTTTTTCAATTCACTTTACAAAACGAAAATGAATGGCATGCAGATCTTCATACATTTCAATATAACGAAAGAGAACCAGATGTAATATACACACGATATGATAAGGGGAAACGGCGAACTTCTCGTGAGATTTCCTATTATGATTTGATTACAATGAAGACAAAATTTTCTTGAAGGTAATTAAAAGCTCAGTGTGCACCAGTAAAATTGACAACTATTATTTGGAAGTTCAACAGAGTCAGATTGCACGAAAGAAATCCCAAAAAACTGTAGAAATCATCAATTTCGAAGAGCATTGAGGAAAATTTTGTGAAATTTCAACAATAGTTTAGAAAATCGTGACTTTTGTCATACGATACGTGATACATCTTCGACTCATTGAGAATTAAAGAAAGTTTTGAAAAGTCTGTAAATACACAAGCATAGATTTCATATCTCGAAAACTAAAAACTCCATCGTTTCTCTCTTGTTTTATGGTGCCATACCATAGCATAGGTGATACAAAAGAAAATAAAAATAAAGAATGTACAAGTAGAAATACGTCATTTCATGCATCTTTTTTTTAATTTTTGATCATTGAGATTATTTGTCATGAACGTACATCATTTCGTATAGGTTGTCGTCATGGCTATCTGGAATAATCAAAATAAGAAGTGTTGCAACCGTTTGCTCGAAATGACAACATCAATGTTTTGTCTATTTTCCTATATGTGGGCTTTAGTTGTATGCATCAACGCCAACTTCATCGATAAAAGTAGTCTACATGCACTTTTTCTTTTTATCCTTAGGGTATAATTTGGGCAACTAAATCACTAAAACACAATAATATCTATTGCCATCCATTCCTGTACATATTTACATTGGGCCTCAGCAGTGCTGACTTCTTGCTTATTATAATTTTAATCTTCTATGTTTGCATTACTGGTAAATCCAAGGACGAAACGCCATCGGTACAAATATCAACTGTCCTTTGAGATTTGTTGATTTAGAACTATACCCCCGGAACAAAAGTCTTTCCGCCTCTATTTTTTCTCTCCTGCAATATTTTATATTAAATTTATTATCAAATAGAGGTATCATTTTAAGTGTTTTATGTTAGTATGAGAGTGTGCGGGTATGTCTTTCTATTTACAATCCAAATTCATATCCTGATTCACATGAAAACGAATAAAGTGAATCATATGTGAATAAACAGTTCTCATTTATGTGCTCTTTCTGTTATTTTACGCTGTGCTTTGATTTGTATACAAAATGAAAACTTCAACTGAATCTCAAAAGCATAAGTCTCAGTAGTCTAATGGTGAAGACGCACGACTGAAAATCGTGTCATCCAAGTTCGATTCTTGGCTGAGACATCTAAAAATTATTTTTATACTTTTTGTAATATTACACAAATTTTACGCAATAACACTTGTACGTCTTCATATGTTTTATCAAAATTACACAACGCAACGACTTTGCTTATAAAAGTTTGGTAGAGAAAAGAATAGAAGTGAAAATATATATATTGCTTGTTTCAAGTGCATCCTTATACTGGGAACACATTGTACACAAATAATTACAATGGAAAAGAATCAACTGTTCTCTCACTGTTATGGAAAGATAATAACAAAGATTTGATCATCTTTATCGAACAACCATCAAGTTATATCGAAATAGACAGATGAACAATATAAGACTTCTCTCATTGATTAAATTAAAGCAGAACATTTTTTTGACAATTTTCAGTTCGAATTATTCATATGTATTCAACTCGTCATTATTTCATGATCCAATAACCAATAAAACTTTCAACTCTATCATGCTAAAGAAGCGAATACTGTTTTAAATTTTATGTCATTAAAAATGAACTCAATCGTGAAGAAAGATTTCAAACAATGGAATCAATTCTGAATTGAAGACATTAGCCAACAGTTATTTTATCTTCATTCAAATGAACAAAAAATAAAACAACGACAATTCCAAACGAAAAATTCTCATTAAATAAATGATTTGTCTAATTAATTCATCTTATAATATATTTGATCTGATTATTATTTTGTCAAATAGAATTTAATCTTCTATTGATCAAAGCAAAATTGTTTTTGTTTATTCTATAGAAAATATCTACATAAGAAAACAACTTAATCAAAAAGAATATAATGGAAAAAAAAATTCTGTCGATATCATTCAGTGTGCAAACTGAGAACATGGATTATCGATGAGAAAAGAATTAATAGACGAAGGTGATTAAGACTTACATTAGCCTATGATATATATTTGAACACACAGCAAAGGTGTCATGATTGTTGATGTATTTTATTAAAAATTTCTGGAATATCATTCATAGAATGATAATTAATATGTTTATCAATATCAATAAGACATATTCGATTTTGATCATGATAATTTTTAACATAATTTCTAATCATATCATTTAAATTTGTTCGTTGTTTATCATAAGCACTATCTGATATAAAAACCATTTTCAATAATAGTCATAACTGATAATTTTGTATTTAGTTTTTTTCTTTCAAGAATCATATCATAAATTAGTTTTAAACCGTGATTAAATATATTTTCAGCTGATTGTTTATAAGTTAAATCATTTGTTCCACCTAAAACAATAATCCAATCATAATGAAAAGGGTGTGGGTGTGCATGTACGTGCTATTGTGGAGAATAGATACTTATTCAATCGCTCACCGATACCCACATCCCTGGTGAATCTAAGAAATCTAACGTTTCGATAATTGAATCGAACAAATGTTCATCACTCTACAGAAAAGGATAAGGTATCATTATAGTTAATTTTACATTCAATGCAATCACTCTGATGTGTCTTTCGATCAACAATTCAATTTACCATATTGTTTGAAGTTTCGTTAAGCCAAAGATATGATCTGATTGATAACGTTAGTGATCGATGGTGATTTATACTAATTCGTTGATTTAATGCCAAGGTGAATGAAAAACTATCAGATAGCGCCCAGAGATAATGAATTCGTTTTGATCAATTATGAATATTATAGGGAAAAAACGAGCTCGAACTGTAGGTATCAGTTGAGAATATTCCCTCTTGAGATAATCCTGTCCTCGAAAAAGAATTTATATGATAGTAAAAAGAACAGACGTTCGCTTTTAAATGTAAGAAACATGAGCAAAAGGATTGAAGATAATAAGTATGGGATAAAACCAGAGGTATCGTTATGTAAGTCGGTAGAGAGATAAAATATTGATGAAACAGAATGACAAAAATAAAAATAGATGAGAAGATCGAAAATCAAGAGCTCAAGGGAAAAAAATACACAGTAGTTGGTAAATAAAATAAAGCACAAAGAAGGTATTCTTCGAACTGAAAAGTTAGGAAAAGTTGAAAATCATTGGGAAATAAAGTATCGAAACGCAAGAATGTCGAAAAGAAAAATATCAAAAATATTTGACGAAGAATGAAACTAATTCAGAATATTCAATTCCGCATTGTCGATATATTTACTCTGTTAAATGGAAGAAAATATAATTTTTCTTTTAAGGCATTAAATAATGAGTCTATAGTTTATTTTTTTATACGTTTCTTGCAATCAAGAACGATAGTCCTTGGAATATTCGAAAAAATTCATATCTACTGTATTGAGTCAAGATGAAATTTTCCTGAGCCTGACTCACATGTGGCATACTTTCTCAAGTTTTACTTGAGGATGTGAGTGTGAAAAGAAGAAACACTCACCCACACTACCTACACCTACACCCTGGTTGCTAAACAAAAAATACGTAATAGTCGAAAAAACTGAATCTTAAGATAACTAACAAAGTAGTATTTTAATTATTATTGCGCTCTTGTATGTAGTTGATTGTGTACAATATTCAAGTGCACTTGTTGATGTAAATTTTTCTGATCAAGTAAGTGAAACTGAAGAAATATTGATGACTGAAAACTACTGATCATGAATGTGATTTATAACAGTCTAGAATATTCTCAATACTACTATATATATGCGCTATCGAATTTAACACATTGTCATGCGTTATTCAAAGAATTACCGCGTTTTCACGATCGAAATTGTAACATTTTTAATCGTTAAATTGCCAAAAATTTTTACATAGGACATCGAGATCCACATTCAATCTCGAACAAAATTTTATCTTTTATTTTATTTTTCTTATTTTCGAATTGATATCATGCATTTGAAGTCTCATTTATACTTAAACTTGAATCAGACATTTCATGTTGCGCCGATTCAATACGAATCTCTTAACATTCGTTTCACTAAAAGTAAAAGATAGAATCAATATTGATATATATCAAAAATAAAAAGAGAAAAGTAATGTTGCAGTAATATCAATAAGATGTGTTCGCGTGTTTTACATTAATTGTCATGTTAAATGAAACGTGATGAGAAGTCAATCGAGCACCGTAACTCTAATTAATTTGTTTCGTATACATTGAATGTTGAAATAATAATCAACCATGCATAACAAAAATTGTTAGGTAGATAATTGTTGTATTTTCAATTGATGTGAAATAGCATACACCTTTAGAGAAGTAAGTGGCAGTTATTCTACTAGTGACAGTAAAGTAAGTGTAATATTTTTGGGTTTCTTTTTTATGATATGTTTCAAATTGCAAAAATTTTAAAGAAAATAAATATTATTAAAATCGTTTGGAGGACTATTAAGTATTACTATTTGAAAAGTAGTCATTTTATTATTCTCTCTTGATCATTGTCTTTAGCTTGTAACAGGTTTTTATTTCATTTTCGTTTTGATGTTGACAAGGTTTGTTTGTGAATAAAGGTGTAATTTGATGTACAAATCATCGATGTCGACTGAGACTTTTTCATGATTTTTTTATTGATGTCTTCTTAGTTTTGGAAATTTTAAATTAAAAAAAGAAGAAAATGATGATAGAGAACGTACACAATAGAAAATTAGACTTATATTTTAGAAATGAATATTAATTCCATGGAAAACGATACTATAACAGTCGCGAACTTAGAGATCAAACATAGTTCTCCTGTGGATTCTCAACAATATACAAACAGTATATCAGATCCAGTTGATGACAACGAGACAGAGTCGGAATATATTACAACAAATCAGTATCTTTCTTTGTTTTCATTAATTTTCATTGTCATCATTTATTTATTATCCTCATAGGAAAACATTATGTTGGTCAAAATCTCGATCTTGTAAAGGTGTATGTGCATTTGCTATATTCACAAGTTTATCAATAACTGTTGGTGTACTTACAGTTTGTTTGACTTTACGCAAAAACACAAGTATGTTCTTTTTTTCTTAATGTACAAGTGACTCTCTAAGTAAAAAAAGATCAAATGATACATCATCGTTGCAACACCATGAGTATATACAATCAATGTTGTCTTTTTTTAAAGTGTCAACCATTATTTTTTGAATAACTCATGATCGCTTCTAACTTTCGAGTTCAGATTTTCGTTATTAGAAAAAGCAAGTGAGTGGTTATCAATCCATATAATATTCATGAGAGTTAAAGACGGTTTTCATAACAACTTACGCTCAAATTATACCAAATTCTAGTTCAAAAAGTGTTCTAATCTCGGTAGACTTTTTATATTTCAAACTATTCTTTTGAAGTATTAAACTAAAGAAAAATATGAAAATTTTCTTATTAACAAAGGACTTTTCGGTATAGAATTTGGTATAATTTGAGCGTAGGTTATTATGAAAACTCATAAAAATAGACAACGAAAAAGATGTGCGTTTGAAAACAGTCACGAAAAACTTCTTCGAATCTTATGAATTTTATATAGATTAATGGGCTCTCAGTTGCTCTTACTAATGACGAAAATTCGAACTCGATGGTCAGAAGTAATTGTGAGTTATTCAAAAAATGGTGATTGACATTTTAAAAAAATTGGACAATAATTTCAAATGACATACAGAGAGAGACGGATATCTAATGAAATGATAGTAATAAATTGTTGAGCATGACTCATACCAAATAAATGGGCAACGAGAAAGGCAAAAATAAACTTTTTAAAAGTATCTATTATAATTTTATTTATATCATATTTGCTAAATTAAAGTTTGATCATCGATCAATAATCATTTCACAATCTCATGCTATGATTCTTAAGTACTATATTTTTCTAAAATATTTCTTTCAAATTTGATAAAAGTAATTTGATCCAAGATCACTTACTTTCGTATATACTCTGACTTTTGAAGCAATATTTGTGCAAAATATTTCATAAAGGTAGTCTCTTAAAAAAAAATAAATCATAAATAGGACGTAAAACAATAACTTAGTTCTTATTAACATTGCTTTTATGATATTTAGATAATACATGTGAAATAACCTTCGAGCGATCGGCTCAACGTCAAATTGGCTATGATTCACGTCCGCAACATGTTGCTGTTGGCGATTTTAATAATGATGGACATCAGGATATTGTAGTTGCTAATTCTGGTAGTGATAATGTTGGTATTTTTCTAAACTATGGAAATGGGACTTTTACTAGTCAAATCACATACTCGACTGGAGTTGGATCTAGTCCATATTCAGTTGCTGTGGAAGACTTAAACAAAGACAATAATCTGGATATTGTTGTTGCCAACTATGGCAGTCATAGTATAGGTGTGTTGTTAGGTTATGGTAACGGACATTTTGCAAATCAAACAACGATTTCACTTGGTTCTGCTCGTCCTTTGGCATTAGCCATAGGAACTCTTAATAAAGACGATCAACTAGATATTGCTGTAGTCAATTATGGCACTTCAACAGTTACTATATTGATAGGTTATAATAATGGATCTTTTCGAATTGAAACAATCTATGATATGGGCTATGATTCTATTCCATATTCACTTATTATTGCTGATTTTAACAATGACAATCAATTTGATATTGCCGTAGTCAACTATGGTACCAGTAATTTAGCTATACTCATGGCAAATGAAAATGGAACTTTTGAAAGTAAAACATATTTAACTGGAAAGGGTTCTCATCCAAGCTCAATAGCTGTTGGAGATTTTAACAAGGACAATAGATTGGATATTGCTATCGCTAATTCTGGTACTGACAATATTGGTATTTTCCTGGGATATGAGAACGGAACTTTTATCAATATGATACCATTTTTAACAGGCTCTAATTCTCATCCCAAGTTTATTGCTGTTTATGATTTTAACAATGACACTCACTTAGACATCGTCGTTGTGAATTCAGAAAACGAAAAAATAACTATATTTAAAGGAGTTGGTAACGGAAGCTTTTCTCTCTTAATGACACATTCAACCGGATTAAATTCTGATCCATGTTCTATTGCCATTGCTGATTTTGATAATGACAAGAAACCAGATATTGCTATCACAAATAATGGTACTGATAGTATTCTTATACTTACTGCATACGCACTTTATCCTGTTACAAGTCAAATGACGTATTTAACTGGGGTAAATTCGGAACCATATTCCGTCGCTGTTGGCGATTTTAATAATGACAATCATCTAGATATTGCTGTTGCTAACTCTAAAAGCAACAATATTGGTGTATTTATTAATTTTGGTAATGGAACTTTTAAAAATCTACAAATATATGATACAGAAAAGGGCTCTAAAGAGCAATTCATCTCTATCGGTGATTTCAACAACGACAATCAACTTGATATTGTTTTCCTTATGTCAGGTGTAAGCAAAATAGGTATCTTACTCGGATATGGGAATGGATCATTCAGATATGGAAATATGTATTCAACTGGGATCGATTCTACACCTAACTCGATCAATGTTGGTGATTTCAACAACGATAAATATCTTGATATTGTCACAGCTAATACTTATAATAACAGTGTGGGGATTTTCTTGGGTTATGGGAATGGAACGTTTACAAATGTAATAACATCTCTAATTAAGAATGATTCCACTCCAACGTCTGTCGGAGTAGGTGATTTCAATAGTGACAATATATTAGATATTGTCACGGCTGATGCAGGCTCTAATGACATAGCTATTCTTCTGGGACATGGTAATGGATCGTTTCTTCTTTCGATGTTTATTTCCACTGGTGATGATAATCCGACTTCTGTTGCCATTGGTGATATAAACAACGATCATCGATTGGATATTGTTTATTGTAGTCCTGTGCCTTCCAATGTAGGTGTAATTTTGGGATATGGCAATGGGAGTTATGGAAGTATAACAAAATATTCTACTGGTGATGGATCACTTTCATGGTCTGTTATCCTAGGTGATTTTAACAACGATACTCTATTGGATATTGCAGTGGCTAACGTATTTGCTTATAATATAGGAGTATTTGTGGGTTTTGGAAATGGATCTTTCGCAGCACAAAAGACATTTTCAACTGGATTTTTCTCTTTTCCATATTATCTTGCCTTTGGTGACTTCAACAATGATAAACAACAAGACATTGTAGTCAGCAATAGATACGCAAACAATGTTGTTGTATTTCTCGTCTATTATGATGTAGATTTTGCAACTGAAACAAGTTATACAACTGGTTCTGGTCCACATCCATATTCAGTTGCTGTAGGTGACTTCAACAATGATAATCATTTGGATATTGTTGTAGCTAATTCAGGCAATGATAATATAGAAATATTTCTAGGTTACGATAAAGCAACTTTTATGAATAAAGTTACATATTCGACAGGTTTTAATTCACGTCCACAATTTGTGACTACTGCCGATTTTAATAAAGACAATCGATTAGATATTGTTGTCGCCAATTTTCGAAATGATGTTATAAATATATTTCTTGGATTAGGTAATGGGACATTTAACACAGCAACAACACATTCGACTGGTCCTAGATCATCTCCTAGTTCAATTGCTGTTAGTGATTTTAACAATGATAGTTGGACAGATATTGCCGTTGCTAATCAAGGTACAAATGAAATAGCAGTGTTTATTGCTTTTGACTATATCACGTTTACCAACTACACTATCTACATACCAGAAATACTTCCACTTCCATCGTATATTGTTGCAGGTGATTTCAACAACGATCATCAATGTGATATTGTCGTTGCTAATTCCAATACTAATAACATAGGAATCTATTTAGGATATGGGAATGGCACATTCGGAAAACAAATTTCACATTCGACGGGTCCCCTCTCGTCACCAATTTCAATTGCTGTAGACGATTTTAATAACGATTCTCAGCTCGATATTGTCGTTGCCAATTCAGGCACGAATAATATTGGTATATTTCTAGGAGATGGACATGGGAGTTTTGACAGTCAAATAACATATGAAACAGGCAATTCATCATCTCCAGTTTCGGTTGCAATTGGTGATTTTAATAAAGACAATATATCAGACATAGTTGTTGCCAACAGAGATACGGACAATATAGGTATTTTTCTAGGATATGGCAATGGAACCTTTGCAGGACAAATATCATATGCAATGCCTACTGGATCTTCCCCAGTATGGGTAACGGTTAATGACTTTAACAACGACCATATACTAGACATAGTCGTCGCAAACATTAACGCAAATAATATTGGTATACTTTTTGGATATAGTAATGGTACTTTTAAGAATGTAATAAGTTATTCAACTGGAAATAATTCTAGTCCATGTTCGGTTGCTGTTGGAGATTTCAATAAAGATAGTTGGATGGATATTGTTGTTGCCAATCGGAATGAATTCACCATTGCTATATATTTTGGTAGTAGTAATGGCGTTCTTGAGTTAGAATTTAAGTATGCGATTGACTTTTTATCATCTTTTCAGTCGATCTTCGTTTATGATGTAAACAATGACACAAAACTTGATATTCTTGTTACTAGTACTGGTCAAGAAATTAATGTAGTTTATATACTTTTTGGATTTGGTGATCATTATTTCACAATACCGACAATCTACTCAGCTGGCTCATCCTCAGTACGGTCCTCCATTGCAATTTGTGACTTTAATAATGATGGTCGAGTAGATCTTGCTATCAATAACTATCAGAGGTGCAATATATTTATCATGTTTCAATATAGAAGTGAAACGTTTGTAACACCATGGCGCTTCTCAACTGGCAATGGCTCTCTTCCTAGTTCAGTTGCTGTTGGAGATTTCAACGACGATCATCAAATAGATATTGCAGTAGCTAATTCTGGTACTAACAATATTGGTATTCTTCTTGGTAGAGGCGGTGGAACATTTAATCAACAAAAAACTTATTCAATTGGAAAGAATTCAGGTCCAGTTTCAATAACTGTAGGTTATATTAACAATGATAATCAACTAGATATTGCTGTGGCTAATTCTAACTCAAACACTATTTGTATTCTCTTCGGATATAAAAATGAAAGTTTTGCTGTTATAACAACATATTCAACTGGAATTAGTTCTGCTCCATCTTCTATTATTAGTGATGATTTGAACAAAGACAATCACACGGATATTGTCGTTATTACTTCTGGCACCAATAAAATACTTGTATTCTTAGGAATGGGCAATGGAACGCTCCTAAGTCCAAAGTCATATTCTATTGATTATAATGCTCATCCACAATCGGTAGCTATTGGAGATCTTAATAATGACAATTTGTTGGACGTTGTTGTTGCTAATTTTGGAGCAGACTACGTAGAAATTCTTTTACGAACTTGTTAACTTGCTACATATATTAACTTGAACCTTTCTTTTTAATTCGATAGTCTGTTTATTTATTAAAATAATCGAGTATATTGTGAAATTGTGGTCTATTCCAACCCAAGATCAACTCGCTAGGTTGGATCCCGTCAAACAGATTTTAAATTCGGTTCCATAGGATGATAGGAACCGATCGGATTTATATTTTTGGAAACGATAAGATCCGATCGGTAGAATCTTTTCGTATTCAACGTGATTCAGGTCTGTTCAACGTCAGAAAAATATTGGAATTCGTCGTGTTATAAAGGACGCTTGATTCCATGATAAAATTCTTTCCATTACTAGTATCGGAACATGTCAGATTATATAGGAATCGAACAGTTTCACTCATAGGATTTTACTTGTTCGTGGAAGCATAGACCCGATTAGAATCAGTTACTTGCGATTATCGGATATAAAAGGAAAATCTTATAACTACAACGCGCCACAATTGATTTCCTCCTCATGTATTTCTTATTTTATACTACTTTAACTTACTCGTTTTTTAATAATCAGTATACAGTGAGAAAGCGCAAACTTCATTGCATCCTATGATATATTGATTATAAATAGAAAAAAATCAAATGGACCAAAAATACATCTAAAAAAAAAAAGATGATGTTTATTTTTTGTGCACAATGTGAAATAAGAGTAAATCTAGTTTCATCTTTCCATTACTCTTTTATATATTGATGCATATGAGTTCAATTATTGTTTGAATATTTACAAGTTTATTTACATAAACACATCTGTCTAACTAAATGAACACAGTTAGATCATAGTATTAATTAAATTTTGGAAAAACTTCAACATGAAGCTGGAGCGTATTTTCTCATGTCCTGGATCGCTGTTCAAAAAAACATTGAGTTCTTTTTTCGTTTCGTATTTATTTTGTCGTCTTTCCTGTGGTCTATTCCTTTCTTTATATCTATACTGGACGATATTTGAACACATATATATGTCCGCTACTTTTGAATAGTGAAAAAACTTCACATATTCATTTGTTACATTTTGTTCGATGTCCAGTGCTTACATTCATTACGGTGAACGAATATAATAGATATACTAGTATCTTTAAGCACAACGTGTTACAAGACTATCATTATGGAGTTTACGAGTCTACTGTCCGTTTCAAAATATAGTGCGCATCACTGTTTTTTAAATAACTCAACAACGCAACGAACTAGTGATCTGCGGTTTTCACCAATCGATAGATGAGACAGAGGAACGCCTTTGTCTCAGATAATGTGTCAGGCGAAATCCTTTTACAACTACTCATCTTTGAAAGACATGGGAAAGAATTCATGAAAATGACCTGCCATTCAGATAAAATTTTGATTTTGACCTTTGATTTAGATAGAGGAACTTGATATCTATAGTTCAAGATACAATTCACTTCCTTACTTTTCCTTACGTTTTCATCGAAATGTCCAGCTATTATGATAAAAATGCAAAAACATAGTAAAAGATAAGTAAAATTTTCTATTATTTGCGCATGTAAATACATGGTTCCATTTGGTCAACGTTAGAATGCAATAAGAAAAGTATTTGTATTGTATCTTGAACTGTAGATCTCAAGTCCCTCTATCTAAATCAAAAGTCAAACTAAAAATTTCATCTGGATGGCAGGTTATTTTCACGCATTCTTTTCCATGTCTTTCAAAGATGAGTAGTTTTAAAAGGATTTCGCCTGACACATTATCTGAGGAAAAGACGTCCTCCTGTCTCATCTATCGATTGGTGAAAACCGTAGGTAATTAGTTCGTTGCGTTGTTGAGTTATTTGAAAAACAGTGGCGCGCACTATATTTTGAAATGGACAGTAGATGTTCTAAACATTATCATCAAATATCAACGGGTATTACATCAGATCATTTCTTACAGTCTATAATTGTCTGTCTTTGATTTTTTTAAATGTTAGTATCAGATATGAATAGTTCACATATAGTGAAGCACATATTGGTAAAAATCCGAGTGAACTCTATGAATATAGTAAAAATGTTCGACCACCAGCATATGAAATGTCTTTGTTTAACTCAGTGCCAATAACATCTCATCCTACTAAATTACACGAAGAAATCAACTTAACAAAAGATATTTGATTAGATTATAAATTTTTAATATAGAACTAAATGAATCCTTCGTTGAAATTTATAGTATCATCTTCATGGGGTCTTGATTATCCAGCTAATTGTTCAAATCTTCTTTCAGATTATATTTATATTAATCAAAACGATTCATTTAAACAAGATTGTTTTTTATCATGTTCATCTCTTTGTTTATGTGTAATTCATGGTCATGGTACAACAAAAATATTTGACGAAGGATACGTTAATTGGTTAAAAGATGATCTTCTTATTATTCCATATCAAATACAACCATTAGATATCAGAAAAATTTTTGTTTTAATAATAATCTTTCGAGAAAATGTCTTAAAAACTAAAGTAGAAAATATTCAAGAAAAATACATTGATTGGAGAGAATTTAGATGAAAATGGTAAAATTCAATCATCAATCCATTTAAATTAGGAATCAGATGCAGCATTTACATCATAATGAATCTGAAGATGAAAATGCATGGATTTTATCAATTCAAAATGTTGGTCTTTTACTATATCAAGTAAAATTTCTTTGGCTTTTTATTTTTATTTAATTTTAAAATAATGTATTTGTTTTTTATTCTTTTAAGGTCTTGTATGATATTCGATTTGTAGATGAAGAATGGAAATATTTAAAAGATAAACATACAATTAAAAATATAATTTATTAATTTTCACATATAAAAATATTGAATTTTATTCAACCAAATATTAAATTTGGAGAACTTTAAATTGAACAATTGATATTTATAAAAATAAATAAATAAATAAGAAAAGTGTAAAATAACCATAAAAATAGTCTTTTTAATGTCGTGTATTCATGTATCCTTCAATTTTCTTCTGCCATTAGAGCTTTTGTTTTTCGAATTGAAGACACAACTGGATGTTTTGATGATAATGTATGACCAGCTATTTCTTCTGCTCGTTCTAAATATTGTTTTGCTTGTTCAATATTTCCTAGATGTGTTTGAACAACTGCAAGATTATGTAATGTACGAGCTATATATGGATGATCGTTTAATAATGTTTGTTGTTGTAATTTCAATGCAATTTCATATTCTTCACAAGCTTTTGAGTAATCTCTAGAAGCTAAATAAACGTTACCTAAATTAACTCTTATTATTGCATGATTTGGATGACAAGATGGAAGAGAACTATCATAAATTTTTTTTGCTTTACGATATTTAACTATTGCTTCATCATACTAAACAAAGTGCAAAGAAAAAAAAAAGAAATTTAGATTTGTTTGAAAATCTCTTGTTGTTTTTATCGTCTTACGTGCTGTCGATCACAATCAATAGTACCCAAATTAATTAATGTTGCAGCAACATTAACATGTTTTTTTGGAATACTTTTTTTATATAATTTCATAGCTCGTTGAAAACATTCTTCTGCTTTTATTTGTCGTCCTTGTTCATTATAAACAATTCCAAGACCATTCAAAGTTTTTCCTGCACTTGCTAAACGTTTTGGTTGAGCACTCATATGTAAATTATATGCACGATTATAACAATTTATTGCACGATTAAAATCACCTTTTAATTGATGTGTACGACCAAAATTAAAAAATATACAAGCAATTTCTTCATCATTTGGATTTGAAGAATTAAGAATTGTATCAAAATATGCTTCAGCTTTAGCATATTCACCCATTTCAAGAAGTAAATTACCAAACATTAGAACTATATTTGATTCAACCATTTTTTTCTTTTGATATTCCATATATTCAGCAGCTAAATCAGTATCTTGATCAGTTGCATGAACTTGAACATGCCATAAATCTTCTTCGACATTGTATTGACATGAATCAATTTGAAAAACTGCTCCTATATAAAAGAAAATAAGAATTTCGTTTATAAGATATTAAATTAGATTATACAACGAAATAATTTTTCAGTTTTGATATTCTTTTTCCATACAATAAAAGGTATTTATTATCTATTATAACTATGATCATACAGAAGCTTCGCCTCATTATAATCAATCTTGTTTTTAAAGGACGTCATCAATTAGTAAATAGAAATGATTCATAATTTTATACATATGTGACTCTTGTCGTATCTTTTTTTATTATTATATTCTTTTTGTTTGCGTGTTTACTGTACACATAGTAATGTGTCATTGGTTTATAAACTGAAATTTTACTAACGATAATACTAAGCATGACGACTATAAGTCAAGATAGTCAAACAAAGAAGCATATTTATTCATAGATATTAGGAAATTTTATTAATGATGATATTTCGTCAAAGAAATCTATATATCATATTAAAAAAATGCAAAGTATTATTGAGAAATCGACAACAAAAGAAAAAAAATGTTGATATCAATATAGATGCAGGCGATAAAATAGTGACTAACTTTAATTAAACACAATTCTTGAAAATAGAACTTCTAGGTTTAGTTAGTAGAATACTTGATAGACACTAAGGATACTATTTTTTTATGTAAATCCATTGTTATCTATTTGAAAATACTATGTCACACATTTTGCTTACAATTTTTTTTATATTATAGATTAGTAATTATTTTTTGATTTTTTCAAAATAATTACTTTCTTCAAACGTTTTAATAAGAAGCATTGAATATTATAATAAATAACTATTTCAATCTAAGTATTTTGATAGATTGAATGACAAGAATAAATCTTCAAATTGATCATTGAATTATTCAAATTAGAGTTAGAAAAAAGAGCATAGCATCCAAAAAATAAACTTTTCTTACCAATATCAACTAGAAATTCAACTTGTTCAGGGAATGTTGAATATTCTCGAACATCAGCAATAATGATTGTTTGAACAATAGTTAAATCAACTTGATATTCAAATAAAACTCGTTCAAAATCATCTTTTTTAAGTGATTTTATTGCAAAATCATATGCAACTGAACGTTGACTACTTGTTGATAAATATTCATTTGTTGATATTAAATTTCCAATATTTCTTTGAAAATTTTGTACTTCATTACAATTTAATTGTGAATATCGATAAAGTCGAAGAACATCTTTCTGTTTTTTTTTAAGTTCTAAAAATTTCATTTCTAGTTGTTCACTTAAATCCATAATATAAAAACGAAATTGATATAAAACACTAACATCTTCTGTACGAAGTGCTTTATTAATAAATCTAAATATAAAAGAAACATATTTATAAATATTTTGTATATTTTTAATAATCTTACTTATTAATAAATGTATCTTTTATATGCCATGGTATAGCATCAGTTGATTTATACGTTCGATTAAATTCATCAATATTTGCTAATTCAGTTAAATTTCCACGATAATAATTTCGACATGTTGTAACCATAGTTTTTTTGGCTTCATTTGTTTTAGGCATATTTTTTAATAGATTTTTAAATAATTCAAAAAATAACAATGAACCAGCTTCTTTTGAAAGATCTCGTGTTGCTTTGTCTTTCTTATTATATATACTCAATGCAGCTATATGTTTATCAAGTTCTTCACGAGATTTTCTTATACTATCTATAAGTGTTTCTTCAGTTTCACATAAATAAACAAGATAACTATGTTGTTGTTGTTTGCTAATATCATCGATTGAATCAGACGTTGGAGAATAAAAAAATACTGAATCAATTTGTTTTAGTGGTTCAATAGCTACAATAAAACTCGTCGATGGTAAACCATCAATGACAAGAAAAATTTTATCAGTTATTAATGTCATATAATCAATACATTCTTTTTCCATGGTAAATGTCTATAATTATTATTTAGTTAGATGCTTTGAAAAAAAAAACTTTATATAAAAATTAACTAACCTCAATGAGTCAAATCGAAAACTATATGATCAATTCCAAGATTTAAGTATGAATAAAGTTTGCTATATCGAAAATTTGATTAGTCCTTTTCAGACTAAGTAGACATGAAGGGTGACCATTATTCTGTTTTCTGTAAAGTAGATCAAAAACTTTTCTTTCAAGAGTTCAGATTAAAGAAATACAAATGTTGACATGTGTGTCTTCGAGAGCATATTTTGTCGATAAAAGAAACGAATTGTTTTTTAGAACTATATCAACTTCATAGAAAGAAGAACTAATGGTGTTTCATCTCAATAGTATAAATTGATTCGTCTCTCTCTCATCCTAATTATTCGTAATTTTCCAATAGGAGTTTTATAAAGATTGTTTAATCTGTCCTAAATTCAAAATGTTTCACCGCCTATGTCTGTAAATGCTTTACATAAGTAATAAATTATGTACATCTTTGTTCATATGTAATAGTATGCAATTCCTAAGTGATAAATAATATATATATATGTATTGATCTTTATGAAAATACTTCCGATTTCATAATTTTTTTGTCAATTGGAATTACTTGTCCTTATTTAGCAATTTTGCGCTTTGATAATTTCGATATAAAAACCACATGTTCTATTATATTATATCTTATCATCTGTTATTCAAGGAATAACAATAAATGATAACATTATTAATAAAAGTAGATAAACTGGAAAGCAGCAATTAGCTATTATTTCATGGAAAATAGTTGAATAGAAGAATAGTAGATTATGATTATTTATTTAGACTATGTTGTAAATGCAAGACAGATATTTAAATAGTGTATGAAACAGATGATTCGTAACAAAGTTAGATATGTATGTTGATTAGTTGAGTCAATACTATTCAAAAAAATATATTTCGATTTTAAAAGTTTCTTTACTCGAGTATTTAGAAGTTAAACATGTTTGTGTTGGAAGAAAATAATGTGTGAAATATCTCCTATTCAATCACGCAATATTTGAGTGATTTAGGAGTACTTCTTATTGACCGAAGTATGTCGATAATATGTTGCTTTGGTGTTTCACAAGCAAAATAAATCAATTTTGTCCCATCATTTTCGTTTTCATCGTTGGCATCATGATCTTTATATTTTCCTATTTCTTCTTCGTTTTCTCGCTGTGTATCAACATTATTATCGATATTTTTTTCATCATATAGGTTTTTAACGGCTCTTTTACGACGAATTGTACAGCATTTTAAAAGTGACATATTGCAACGTGATGTCGAAGGATAAAATATCTAATTATTCTGTGTCGACTAACATTGTAGACTCATTTCTTTGAATAAACAAACACTCACTGTTCGATACACTCGAATGATCAAGATGATTACCAAGGTGGATAGTCATTTTATGAGACATATATTTATCAAAATATGATTTTTTATATGAATAGACTAATGAAATGTAGACAAAAAAAAGCAAACAAACATTATTGGGATTTTGATCGATGGAACCAGAAGAAGAAACAATGTTACATCAAATATAAAATTTAGTCGTGAAAAAAAATTTTCAGTATTAAATGCTATAGCAATTTGATTAAGTAATTAATGGATACAAGGTTAGAAGAGAATGAATAATGATTTTCAAATATAAT